ACTGCAATATGTAAATCATTTGCATATTAATAATATTAAACATTGATATTTAATCCCAAAACTCCAAAGACTAGAAAATGGAAGCATGTTTTACCTGTGTCATACCACGTGCCAGCAGTAATGGGAAGATATGTGAATACGAGGTCAGAAGACCTGGGGTTAAACCGTTGCTCTGTCACTTACTCTGTGATGCCAATATTCTCCATTTCTTCCTCTGTAAAAGAAAAGTGGTTCTTCGATGGCACCAACATTCTTTTCACCTATGATTCCTTTCACCCTTGATTTCACCCTGGCTTCTCTCCTTAGGTATCCATATCCAAATGGGTCAGATATCCCAGTTTTCTCCTCCTGAGCTGATTTGCAGCCCATTTCAGGAAGGTGGAAGGCTTGGAGAAATGCCATCTTGAGAAAGCAAATACATTATTCATCTTGTCAGACTTTTATAAAATGAATAATTGTTGGCAGAAAGTATTTAAAAATGCCTTTTTTCTTCCCTGTTAAATAAAAGCCTAATTACTAAATGTGGAATGGGATCTCCAGATTGATGGTGAGGGAATTGGTTTCTCATCCTACTTCCACTTCTAGTGTTAAACTAGGATGACAATAGATCAAACAATATAAAAAACTGCAGGTGATTTTCAAAATTCATGGATCTCACAGATATTCTCTTAGCCCATGAAACTTGCTTTGGCCTAGAATTCAATTGCCCGTGATGTTTCTTCCATTTCTTTAATCATTGTTACTTCTATTGTATTAGTAGGGTAAGATAACATATCTACATAAAAAAAATTATTATTTCCAATAAATTCTGATTTCTGTGAACAGTAAGAAAAAAGAATCAGTATTTAAAAGAGAATATAATAATATATGTCCAGATATACTAGCTGCTTGATTTAGTTTAGACTTCAGAGATAATGGGAAATCATTGGTAAGAAGTATAGTGCTGCCTGACACTCATTTGCTCAGGACCTGTGTTAAGTGAAAGCAGTGTTACTTTAAAGGCAGAATCAATTTCCCATTTCCTCCTGATTTTCAATTCAGCTCTACAAAAGCTTAGTGACATTCACTGTGTGTCAGATCCTGGGATAACTCCCAGGAAAATAGTGGCATGGTCTCCATCCTCCAGATTTTCCCAGGCCCGTGGGGAAGCAAAACATGGAAACAGTGAAACAGGTATACTGATACTGTACAGAGAAGGAAGGAAGTCATGTTTAAGAGGACTTCAGGGATGGGTTTCATAGAACTGGTGATTCATGAGCAGAAATTTTAAGAAAAGTTCATTAAGTGAACACAATGAGAAGGCTGACAAAAAAGAGATACAGGTGTGAAGTCATAGAGGTGTAAAATAGCTGTGTGAGTTTGAGTGCTTGGTATGGCCACAGTGCAGCCTGGGGAGGTGGGGGAAGAGGAATCGAAGTGGGAGAAGGGAAAGTAAGGCTGTAGTGAAGAGAGAGGAAGGGGCCAGAGAAGGACATGTTTAGGGCTTTGGGTTTTGTCCGTAGGTGAGGGAAACATGGAGGGTTTTTGAGCATGTCACTTCATGATCAGATCTGCATTTTGAAAGATGATTTGTGGCTGGCTTATGGAGAATTGCATGGTAGCATGGAGACCTAGTTAGAGGGTAATGCAGTAGTTCAAATGAGTGATGAGAGAATTTTCTGGTGTAACATTTCCTATTGCTTCATAAATATACTGCACATTTTAAAATGTCAGCAAACTGAAAATATTTTTAGTATTCAGTAGAACTAATTCATTGCTACTTTTATAGTTTGAAATTATTTATGAAATTGATAGCAATGAAAAATAGAAAGAATGGTAGTATTTTGTTAGTGAAATTAAACCAGTAAACTTCTCACAAAAAATTTCATAGTTATAATTTTGTTGTATAATATGGAATATAACTTTACAAAAATAGGTGATGAATTTTTAATATATATACATCTAGTTATTTGCGGAAATTATGTATATTTGAAAACAAGTGAATGATGTCATAGTGCTGGTACATGTTAAGTATTTGTTGAATTTGCATGTGATACAGAAGATTATAACTAAGACTTTGTCTTAATTCAAGTCATGGAATAAGTGACTGATATTTTGAGGCAGAAAGTTAAATCCCAAATCGAGAAAGAATGAAAATATCTGTTAGGGAAAATTAAATAGCCATATATGCATCTAAGATTGTAATTTTGAAAAAAAGCATGTATTAAAAGATTATTGGAAATCGTATAATTGGAAAAGCACATTTGAAATTAGCTTGCAGTTATCTGACAGACAGTATGGCGTATAAATCTTCTTACCAAATCTTGGTTTTGTTGCATAAATCCTCAGTTCTTGGTTACCACAACAGGAATCAAAAGTCAGGATTGGAGAAATTAGAACATCCATAGTCTTGTGGGGGAATAAAATATTGGAATGCTACATCTTTTTCAGTATGAACCCAAGATTTAAAAAAAAAGTTTCTATTTAAGTACACACAGTAGTATACAAGTTATCATAAATGTTAGGTTATATGCTCCATAATGGTTGCAAGGTTATTACTCTGCATTCGATGCCAGCTTATATTTCAGTCTTCAGAGATTACACTGAGGCTAGGGGTTAGGATGAATTTTCTATGCCTGATTTTTATAAAAGTTTTTTAAAAGTAACTTTTTCATAAGATCTGTTTATCTTAGTCTCTTCTTTTCCCATATGATAGTTGAATGTAGAATGATACTTAGAGGAAACTTTTTTTAGCAAAATGTATTTTTACTATGTGTTCACCCTTAATCGGTTCTGTTGGGGAATCAGTGGTGATGTGTTTCAAAGCAGAAATCTTTTCATGCTTATTTTTCACTATTTAATGAGATTTCAGGTATATTTTAACAACTGGGGTTTCCCTGATGAATCATTAAAATAAGTGAGTGGGCTGGAAGGTAATACTAACTTTTCTCAGTACTGGCCTATTTTACTCTGCTGGGTTATTGGTTGCTTTTTAAGTAGAACCTGGGTGTGTTGGAGTTGGTGGGTGGAGGTGCAGAAGGGAAGGACGGGGGAGGGGTCAGTAAGAAAATACCAGGTAAACCTCTGATGACCTATTGGGAAATCCTACTCAAATTTTACTTTCCCCGACTTAAGGCATTAAGTGCTTAAGCTCTCTATTTTTTGCTCTGCCAAGCTTAACTTTCCAAATATTGTATATAGGCAAATAGAAAATATATTTTCAGCAATTGATTGACGTTTAGAGTATCAAACCATGTATGGATTAGCCTGTGGAATCAATTTCTCATGTGTGTGGGATTAAAACCGTTAAAACCATCCTCACTGAAACCATACCTTCCTACAACTAATAGCAGTAAGGTGTCTGTGGAATATATTAATACAACAATTCCTCTGATTTAAAATTATTACGTGGTATTTGGTTGGAAAGTTATTTGAATATTATAGGTAACTGAATTAACATCATCTATGAGGGCTAATTATGGGTTTCTAATGTGACAGGTTTAGTTTTAAAAAATCCACGATGTATTTATACTTAGTACTTCTTTTCAATACATTAATAGCATATTGCAAATTTCCTTTATCTGTACTGTTAAAAAAGCCTCAACAACCACAGCAGTCCTAACTGCTAGAGGAGGTAAACAAAAATGTAGTTCACCTTGAAAATGATCATGGCTCAGGGAATAAAGAAACTGGGTCAAGCTTAAAATAAATGCAGGTACAATGACAAAAAGTTTTAATAAAAATTTAAAAATATTCATAGCATTGGTTTCAGGCTACTTTTGTTCTCCGTGAGATTATCAATGCGTTATTAGTTTTTAATTGAGATGACTCTAATGGTACTTTTTCATTTTGGTCAAAATGTTTATATGAAATACTATTGTGATTTTTTACTTTGTATCCCCTTTTCATCGTAAAAATAAATTTTTGGAAAGGCAGATAATTCTCAGATAGATCATTTTGACCTCTGGTGATCATAAATAGAATCTGAAGTAGTTTAAAATTCCTATGTCATAGCTATTGCTTTGACTTATTTTATATTACCAATTTAATGTTTAGCATTTAGCCATGTATCATTAAATCATAGTATTGATAATGAATTAAACTTTCTTAAAGCTTTAATAGTATAGTAGATTTTCACTTATCTGGTGTCACTGAGGAATAAAATATGCTGAAGAAATGTTTTTTTTAACTGAAGCTTACTTGTTTAAGCAGAAAAACTTTAAAGTTGATAAAAATTTATCTGAAACATTTTATATGCTCCTTTAGGGAGCAAGAATGGATTGGCCATTTACTCTTTTCTTAATATCATAAAATATGTCATTCTAGTGTCATGCAGAAAGGACATGGGCTTTCTGATTGTTATTTGTTCTCCAACGAAAGAAGTTTTTTTGTTGTTTCTTCCTTTTAAAATGCCGCACCCCTAATTCTGAGATATTTAGTTCAGATGTTTCAGGTCTGTGGTGGTACATATGCTAATGCTTTAACAGATTCATAAACCCATGCATCCATGTAAGACGTTTAGTAATGTGTAGGCTCACCCACCAACTTTTGGCAAACACCTGGCCACAGCCTCCTGCCATCAAGGAGACTCTGTCCTTGCTGTGGAGGAAGCACTTTCAGTGTTAAGGCCCTGTTACCGCTGCTCCCAGGCAGTCACTCCCTAGTAGCCATTGCCAGTGGTGTAAAATGTCTGTATTCAGCCGATATTGTGAGCATGGGTGGCGTCAGGGTGACCACCTGCAGTTGTCTGGAATTATTGCTCAGATGGGCAAGTACTGTACTTCCTTTATCTTTTAGCAAATTCCAGCGTAACAGCAAAAATCCTTTTTAACAAAGTCTTTTTTTTTTTTTTTCAGCCCCATGCTTGTTTCAAGCACTATTTTCTAAAACAAAATTCAAGCACAGCAAAAGTATTTGAGCTGTTCTTTAATGTGCTGTGATGACATTTGGTTTGAATCTTATATTTAAAAATCAGCTTCTCCTCTTTTGCTTGCACCTAATGGGAATCATCTTTCTTCCAGGTTGTGCTTTAAGAAGGCTATAGGGAAGAACACATTTTCTTCTTGCCGCAAGAGTTGCAATACAAGTAAGTGGAGAACTGCCAGGAGATGTCTGTCTCCACAAAACAAGCAGAACAAATTTCCATGAATCAAAGCCACTAAGTATAGTTTTCAGAGATGGTAGGACATAGTTACTCTCCCTAGAAAAATACCCCAAATGCAGGCACACCCATTGGCCACTAGAAAAATGCTCAAGTAAACGCTAGTTCAAACCTGTACATTTCACTCTCCTTACTGAGCTATTAAAGGGGTGGAAATCTACTATAACTATAATCTTTTTTTCCCCTTTTCTATTTTTCGACCTCCCACATGCTTGGTGTTCAGTTCTGCTTACTTAGTATCTTGAATCTCCAGCAGCACCTACACGTACTGCCTCCACAGTAGCTGATGGTCTACAGATAACTCATGATTCAGACCCATAAGAAACATCTGTAAACATATGGCATGATATGTGCTCTAGATTAATCATGGAAAAGGGCAAAGTAGTGAAGAACCAGAAGGCTTTTTTTTCCTTCTAATATTGATGTTGCTTTCTTTGAGGTTATATGAATAAAATATTCTTTAGAGTGGTTTCTATTACTTTCCATCACTTGGGGAACTGTCTTAGGTCATTTTTATAAGAGCCTTTCAGAGACCTTTTAAGTGTATACAGGGCATATACTCCTTAGCATGATTAGGTCAGAGGGAATAAAGAAAGAAAGTAGATATCTGTGATGATCTAGTAAGCAAATTAATGTTAAACAGCCTTTATTCTGTCTTTCTTGAAACCTTTGATATAATTTTAAAAATTGCCTTTTATTGTTCTCTCAGTTGCTTTCTAGAAGTTTCCATCATTTGAGGGATTAATGGCTACTCTTTTGTTAAACTTGGAGGGTGTTTGTTAACTTATTGAACACTACATTAGTAGAGTTGAAGTCTCCAGCTAGCCTGAGAAAATTGAGCCTCTGCATAGCTCAGCCTGTGGGCTTACTTCTTACTCACAAAACCTGTGGGACTCTCAAATTCATATCTGAAATGCAAGCTGCTGATGAGGAATGGGTAACACCCACTGCATTTCAATTGCATGTGTATATCTACCTTTCCCACTGGTCCTTGGTGGATAGGGGGTTGTGATTGAAGATTACTGATTTTAAAATGCCTTTGGATTCGAAGATACCCTTTGTCCTTAAGTAAGGTGATTTATACTAATAATGGGAAGGGGGGAAATACCTTATTACTGTTTGTAAGCTACTGTGTTTCAATTTTATCTTCACAACACACGTCTGAGGTTAGTACTGTTATCCCCATTTTAGAGGAGGTGAAACTGAGTCCTACAAAGTTAGGCAGCTTGTCCAAAGACACAACTATGAAGTGGCAGGGCTGTGCTTTAAACTCATATCTTCCTGTCCCCAGGGTTCATTCTTTTTCTACCTGAGGAATACTGCTTCTCTATTTTGCAGATAAGAGAAATATGTTTGCATATTTTTCCCAAAAAATGCTCATTGGAAGATTCGGACATCCAAAAATAAGCTTTTTTCACTCAGTCATTTCTTTTTTTCTTTTTTTTTGAGGAAGAGTAGCCCTGAGCTAACATCTGCTGCCAATCCTCCTCTTTTTGCTGAGGAAGACTGGCCCTGAGCTAACATCCATGCCCACCTTCCTCTACTTTTTATGTGGGACGCCTACCACAGCATGGCTTGCCAAGTGGTGCCATGTCTGCACCCGGCATCTGAACCAGCGAACCCAGGGCTGCCGAAGCGGAACATGCACACTTAACCACTGAGCCACCGGCCTGGCCCCAGTCATTTCTTTTCTGAGAATCATTTGAGACTCTTTGCTTTGAAATGCAATTTAAGTGGGCATTGCTTTGACTGGTCAAGTGGAAGTACTGTTTTGTTAGGAAAGGGAATCATTGGGTTGTTGAGACTGATAATTTTCTGGAACAATGTTATTAAGAAAAGCAATATTCTGTTTAATGAGTGGGTGTTTATTTAAGTCATAAAGGAGCATTCAAACATCTGGAATATTTTTTAAACAATGTAGTGTTTATGTACAGAATGATGTTCTTCCTTCTTACAGGAAATAGCATATAATTTGAAGCGTATATAAAAGTTTTTACATTTCTACATGTATTTTTATTTCACTGAGCACATTAACAAAAATCATATTATTAAAATAAAAAATTGCTTGATAGCCAGTTCTCTGTGATGAAAATTTTGGCATGTCTTTAATAAAACATTGCTGTATTCCTCTGAATGGGTTTGTTGTTTAAAGAAAGGTTGTAGAAGCCTTGCTGGTTCGCAGGCATAGAGCTTTACCCCACTTTTTCAGTCTTTCTTTGGGGATGGGATATTGACAATAGTGGGGAAGTGGTCAAGGTTTGTGCAATGTCTCAAGAAATTGTATTCTAAGATATATAATACTGGAGAATTGAGATTTGAATATGAATATGTGTTTTCTAAATAGAGATTCATTGAGAGCATTGATAGCTCTCAATGCTGCTGAATTTAAAGCTGGAGTAATATGAGAGTTACAGAATCAGAGAATTTCTGGACTGGAAAGAATCTTACAAATGAAGGCTCTTGGAGTGGAAGTCTTAGTTAGGAGATCAGTTCAATGATTGTCCAAGACTAGATAGAGCTTAGGCCAAACCAGTTCTGAGCTTACTGAGTCAGGGTCACAGTTATTCCAACCAGAAAGTGAGTAGTCAAAGCAGGAGAGGGCTTTCAACTTCCTGGAGTAGGAGAGAAAACTGAGTCATTGTGGAAGTAGTCTTAGTGCAAGAGGAAAACAAAAATCAGAAACATAAAGCATCCTTTATTACTCTTATTAACACAAATGATGTAAAAATATTGATTGCAAAAATATAAACCTGGTGTTTTATGAGACAAGCCTGTTTTAAAAATTAATGTGTCTGTAAATTATTTATATTTGCTTTCCGAGGGTAATATTTTAACTTATTTTTATTTAAAAAAATCTTTATACATACACATAGACATATGTTTGAAAAAAAAATATTTTTTGCTTGTTATCTAGAATCTGGGAAGGCTTGAAGGGGCCAATGAGTATTCTCATCATTGAGGCATTCTATGGAGGGTCTCATAAACAGCTGGTGGATCTGCTCCAAGAAGAGTTAGAAGACTGCGTCCTTTATACCCTTCCTGCAAAGAAATGGCATTGGAGAGCACGGACGTCGGCTTTATACTTTTCTCAGAATATTCCCATCAGTGAGCGTTACAGGTAATTAGAGCTCTGGCTGCATCTTCAGCCTTTTTTTAATGCACCTGTTATAAAGATGCTGCTTCTCTATTGGTATCGATAAGATTTTCTCCAACTATGGAATCAGTCAGTATGACTCCAGGAGATATTCCTGTAGAGACAGCAGAGCAGCAGAGTACATTTACACTCTGAGGACACCTGGTCGGTAGGAAGGCAGCATCACTTAGAACTTACATGACTTATCTCATTTGTCTTGTGATCTTATCACATGCATGTGTGTAGGTGGGGATGACATTTTTTTTGGCCTGTGATGAGAATTGATCTTGGGCACATTTGTTTTTTATTTTTTGCTTCCATAATTTCAGTGCCTCTTTTAGTGAGTATGCTGTTTTAGTTTAGTTTTTGTATTTTCTCTGTGCTAGGAGCTAAGGTTGAAAAAATTAGAATGGCTTAGGTCTGTGCCCTTACAGGCTTTAAAGACTATTGACGCAGAGATAGACATGCAAGTGCAATGAGAAAATGAAACATGGAGAAGTTCATTTTGAATGTGACAAACTGGAGGTGGTTTTATAGAGGTAGTAACCTTTGGTTAATCTTGAAGGGTGGGTAGATTTTGGGGACACAGACCTCAATTCTGAAGTCTGATTTGTTATGAAGTGAGAACTTATAGGCACCTGTTAGAAAGTCTTATGGGACACACTGAAAAGATGGATGAGAAATACTGATTACATTTTTAGGGAGAACAAGTAAAGTAGAATGGAATCCTCTTGAACCTCTCTACCTCTTTATTCTCTATTTGTGTCTACTGCTGAGTGTCTCCAGAATGTTAAATAGAGGAAGATTAGCCTACTGTGGTTTACATATCTGATGTTCTTGCCATTCTGGGCCCTTCTATGTAGGATTGCATTGCTTTAGGCAGGAGTGGGGAGTGCCAGGCTGATAATTATTGGAGTTAGAGCCCACAGGTTGTTACAGAAAGGGCACGTTGCAAACTGTAGTGCCCACCTTGACTTCAGCTGCCATACTCACCTGCTGTTTCTAAGATGGAGCAGTCACAAGGGAGACAGCAGCTTAAGATTTCAATATAGGTTGCTGCTCTTAATGGTAATTTGGGGAATTCAGAGAATAACCCTTTTGATGTATGAGAACCATGCTCATCTCTGAGAATTCAGATTGTTGGATGGAATAGCAGTGAGCGCTCAAGTCACATTGCTTGGGATTGTAAAGGTAAAATGCTGTTTTGGGGCATATTGATAATTTTGTATTTTCAAATCTAAAGTGTATTTTTCCGTATATAATTTAATGTTTTATATTCTGATCTAAGTGAATATTATTAATTCACTAATAGTATGAGAAATTTCAATGAATGTTTCGATATAAAAGTTGCAAAGGCAATGATAAGACTATTGCTGTGTTAAAATCTGATTGTTTATAGTTGCTTTCACATCTCATTTAATTGAGTTTCACAGCACCAATTGTATTCTATTACTTAAGGTCAAGTAATCCAGTTGACTTTAATGGCACATTTTCATTTAACATTACTGTTTGATATAATAAATTTCTACAGTGATTTGAACATTGAAAGGAACCATTTCTATATCTACTGTTAGATTTTATTTTGATTATGCAGTTTTTCAGAATGAAATTATTGTATTACAAATATATGTATGTGGATAGCATGTAAACAAACACTTCCCATGGCTTCTCGACTCTCTTTGAGGCCTGAAGCATTTGAGGCTAAACATCACATTGCTCTTTGAAGCAGTCTTATTTGGAGGTAGATTTCTGAAAGATGGTGATATAAAGTTTTACTCTCAGATAGGCATAATCTCCAGGTCTGTGATCTTTCAAGGTCAGCCATTTAAGCTGTGTAGTTAACTATATTAATCTAATCATACTTCACTAAAAGATATACCGTATTCCTTCCTTATCTGCAGTTTCGCTTTCCATGGTCAACTGTGGTCTGAAAATATTAAATGGAAAATTCCAGAAATAAGCAATTCATAAGTTTTAAATTGCTCGTGGTTCTTTTTTTTTTTTTTTTCCTTCTTGAGGAAGATTAGCCCTGAGCTAACTACTGCCAGTCCTCCTCTTTTTGCTGAGGAAGCCTGGCCCTGAGCTAACATCGTGCCCATCTTCCTCTACTTTATATGTGGGACTCCTACCACAGCATGGTGTGCCAAGCAGTGCCATGTCCGCACCCGGGATCTGAACCAGCGAACCCCCGGCCACCGAGAAGCGGAACGTGTGAACTTAACCACTGTGCCACCGGGCCGGCCCCTGCTCGTGGTTCTGAGTAGCATGGTGAAATCTCTCACCATCCCGCTCCATCCTGCCCAGGACATGAATTGTCTCTTTGTCCAGTGTATCCATGCTGTATGTGCTCCCCCCCGTTAGTCACTTAGTAGCCGTCTCAGTTATTAGATCAACTGTCATGGTATCGCAGTGCTTGTGTTCAAGTAACCCTTATTTTACTTAATAATAGTCCCACAGCCAAGTTTATTATTAGTTATTGTTGTTAATCTCTTACTGTGCCTAATTTATAAATTAACCCTTATCATAGGTAGGTATGTATAGGAAAAATCATGGTATATATAGAGTTTGGTACTATCTGAAGTTTCAGGCATCCACTGGGGTCTTGGAATGTATCCTCCACTGATAAAGGGGGAGTACTGTACCTCACCATTTAACTTACAATTATATTTGACCAATGGTAACGTCTACTCTTTACCAAATAACTTTTCGAATGCTTTTGGAAAAATAGCAGCAGCCTAAAAACTTATAAAGTTAAAAAATGTGCTTACTCAATCCCCGATTGAAATGCAAGAAGAGCTTTTTATTACACAAGAACAATCTGATCTCTGTGGAGACTTTTAAAGATAAGAAAGATTTTTGCTTTCCAGTTACGTACTTTCTTTGTACGTTTGGCAAATGAAATTATCAAAATTCATAAAGGTAAAGTGATTAGGCACCAATATTGCCTACTATGCAATATTACTCTGAACAAGTAGGAATGTGTCTGATGAGAAAGACCTTTAATGTAGGTACAAATGTTATTTTTTTCAACTTCTGTACGTGTAGTCATTGTTGTTATAAGCTTGTTATCTGGAAAATATTTTATTAGTAAAAGAATAAATGCTTCAGACTAATTAATCAGTTTGATTCTGCTTTATCTTGACAGTTAAAAGAATACAATCATGATTCACATTTACAGCTGTTTAATTTTATTATAGATTAAAAAAACCTCCGCAGTTATTTTTCTCAAAAGTAGTTGGTAATTATTGTAATTTTTAGGTTTTATTAAAGCTTTGCCTTCTGGAAACTCCACAAAATGCAGAAAAACGTTTCTGAGGATGGTCCTTAAATTTTGTGTTCTCAAATGTATGAGTCATTTGTCCCAGGATCAAGCATTTCTTCTTTCTTAAAATATACCTAGACTAGGCATCAAAGATGTTTCATTCATTTTCCTTTTGGCAGTATCTTTACTGAACTGAAAAAAATCACTGTTACTTAAAATCATTTTTGCCCTCTCAGATGCTTACAATTATATTTTTCACTCCATCTGAGGTATTGTGGCAGATACTGATCATTGACCACTTAACAGCCCTTCTTCCTTGTAGAATCACAATTTTCTTTGGGATGGCTAAGTACTCAGCCCCTGAGGGGTGAAGCATGAATGACTTAAGTCGGTCATGTTGATCCCATTCTACCAAATTTTTGCAGCTTTCCTTGCAGCTAGTGCTAGTCAGTCTCTAGGTTTTGGCAAATTAGATGGAAGTGGATGACTTCTGGGGGTTCTTCCAATAAAGTTTTGGTTTTTTCTTATAAAAGTAGAAAGCCACCTTCTCCTTCCTGCATTTGACTGTAGTTGTGATGGTGCAGCCATGAGGTGACAAAGTGAGCGTGAAATACCTTGGCTGCCAAAAATGACTGATGGAAGGCTGGAAAGAGTCTGGATTAGACTTCTATTTTCAGCAATGTAGCTACCTAGTCACCTGAAAACCCTCCATCTCTAAAACATCTAGAAATGCTTTGTAAAATATAACAAATTGCCTTTTGAAGTCCATAGCTGAGCAGAGTCAGAGAGGATCTGAAGAGGCATCTGGAAATTAAGAGTGGTAAGCTGGCTTTGAAGCTGTGGTTGCCTAATTTTCATAAAGGGGACTGGTTAGCTAAGTTATATAACATTCCTGAAATGAAATATTGTGGAGCTCTAACCTGAATTAGGAGGCTTTCTGTGTCCTCTTAGGGGAGGCTCTCCAAGGCATATTAAGTGACAAAAAATAAGGTGCCAAACAGTGTTATTAGGTGCTATCTTTGGTATAAAGAAAGGAGATTATAAGAACGAAACAATGGAAGGGTACACCGGAAATGAATAAAAGTAGTTGTCTGAGGATCAGTGTAGCAGACAGAGGCCGCACCCATATCCCTTGACCTTTCCCTTTTGGTGTGCCCTGGCCAACTTCCTGCTACCAGTATCTACAGCTCTTTGCCTGAGGCAGCAGCCGCTCCGCCAGTGCATGGCAGCAGGCTGTGAGCAGCCCTCCACAAAGATCCTCGCCCCGAGATGAAATCATTCTGAAGTGTGTGCAGGAGAGAAATCATTAACAAAGATTCCTAAAATCCCTTCTAAGTCAGGAAATGTAAAAGCATAATTCTAAATAACTGACGGGTCAAAGAAGAAATCATAATGGATGCTAAAAAATAGAACTGAATCATAATGAACATATTGTTTATCACAATGTGGGTTGCATCTAAAGTGACGGTTGCAGCCACATCATCTTTAATAAATTTATTTTTATTATTTTTTTTTGACAGAGATATGCAGGGCCCTCTAAAGCTTGTGGCCCTGGGTAGGGCCCCTGTTTCTTGAATCTGGGAGTAGTTCTGGGAAGGAAACAGTAAGAAGAGTGAAAAATAGTGAAATTGAAAGCATATATATAATGGAGATGAACAAACTGAAAGTAGTTATTTTGAAATAATAAAATAGATAAACCACAGGTACAACTGATTTTTTTTAA